TTGGGTCTCAGAGAGGTGACGTGAGTTATTCAAGAGTACAAAGCGTGTATCTGGAACAATGGTGGAAGAGTAGACAACATTAGGAGCTGGTCAAAGCCAAGAATATGAACCTCAGATCTGGGTACCATAGGGAAGAGAAATATAGGCGAATACTCATTGCACTGCCAAAGGACTTGAAATTACTTCACAGAATAAATGGTTGAAGAGAATAGGGATGTTGGACCCAAGAAGAGAAGAGTCTTTAGTATATGGAAGCTCAGAAGACCTGAGGAACAGAGGCTGTAAAACAGAGGCAAAATCTTCTGTGTTTCAAATAGAGACTGACATATAATCTCCTTCTTCTCCGGCTGAGATGGAAACAGCAGAGAAGTAAAGTCTTTCTTAAGATCAGTTAAAAAAAGAAAGAAAGAAAAGGCATGAAGACTTCTACCTTCCATTCTTTTGAGTGTCAAATTTTCAAAAGAGAAATAATCTCTCAAGAGTTTCCCTTGAATTGGATTATTTCAGGCAAGGCCTGAGAATCCGGCACACAAGCAATTAGCAATATGAATCATGGTCCTTAGTGAAATCCCCTTGGCCAAGGAGCAATACTTCTCTTTTCCAGAGCGCATAGCAGCTCAAACAACACTGCCTCTGAGGCTGCCTCCTCCCTGGGAGAGGATCTGCCTGGTAGTATCTGTTGGTGTGACAGGCCCAGGGTTTAAATACAAAATTTAAAAACACAAAGCAACCTCACTGTGAAAAGAGTAAAATTATTTAAGTCCTAATCTACTTGTTGTTCAATAAAACATTGTTAAAATGGACGATTTGCATGACTTTTGATAGCCTCTTCCTTTGGGGAGTAGAACAATCTTACTCTAAAGTTTCATTAACAGCAACAACAACAACAAAAACCCAAACCAATTGCTGTTGAGTCGACTTCTACTCATGATGGCCACATGCGTGTCAGAGTAAAACTGTTAGATTGCCAGGCCTTTCTTCCAAGGCTCCTCTGGGTAGATTCAAACCACCAACCTTTTGGTCAGTAGGCAAGTGTTCAACCATTTATGCCACACTGGGACTCCTAGAGTTCCATTATACCACTTAAAAGGAGTTGGATAAAACCTGTGGGCCAGGTATGGTGGTTTTTAACAATTTTTCTCCTTCACTTAAATATATATATCTTTATGGCTCTCTGGAGAGTTACTGACCTAGAGATAAGTATTTTTTTTTTTTTAAAGCCTCAAGAAATATTCTCATAAATATTTGACAGAACCCCACACGAGTCATCCAGTTTTCAGCTGAAGGAAACAGCAGCTCGGTTTTTATGCTGACACATTTGAGATAGTAATTTACGGGGTGCTGCAGAAAGCTCCCGCAGTAAACTAAAACTCTGATTCTCTCAGCATTCTCCAAAGTGTACAGACAACTGGTCGGATGCCTGTGTCTTTAAGACCATGTTCGTGGGATTGTGGCATGGGTGAATTGCACTACATCTCATGCAAAGCTGCCCTGATTGGATTCTTATAAGAATCAGTAGCTTTGAGACTGATGTGGTGGTTGCCAAATTCCTTGTGCCTGGCAACTGCTTCCCATGGAGAACCCTTAACAGCATGATGCAGGCAAATCTAGGTATGCTGTATCACCCCTCTAAAATGTCCTTTTCTGACTCTGCTTCTCGTTTCCTGGTGATGCACAAGGAAACGAGAACAAGGGATATGCAAAGGCCATGATCCTACTGCCTTGGCCTATGCCCTCAACATGTGCTGAAACAGCCCATAATTTTTCTACACCTTTCCAAAAACTATGAGGACAGACATTGCTACAGCGCTCATCAATATCACCTCATTAAATTCGCTCAGAATTTCATGCTTAGAAAAATATCTGACACTTCTTTGTATTGATGTTAGATTATGAAAGCACTGCCACATATTGTATTTCCCTTTTTGCCTTGGCTGACAGGAATCTCAGAAATGAGCTAAGTGCTCTGTTTTAGCAACTTTCATTAACCTCAGTTTTCTGTACAGTTTTTCTCCCCAGGCCTTAAAATATTGCTTTAGATCTTTTATCTTTGTTTTTAATCATCCTATTATATCTGTACCTTTTAGTATAAGCAGTTAGAAATAAGTACATACCTGTTGCCGTCGAGTCTATTCTGACTCCTAGTGACCCTACAGGACAGAGCAGAACTGCCCCATAGGGTTTCCAAGGAGCGGCTGCTGGATTCGAACTACCAACCTTTTGGTTAGCAGCCATAGCTCTTAACCACTGTGCCACCATGGCTCCCTTAGAAATAAGTACATAGAGCCCATGTATTCTAAACGTAGAACGTTTAATCTGATGAATCTTTACTGGTGGTACTCTATAGAGCAATGGTGCTCATATGTGGAGGGGGAAATCTTTCTGAGTATACTTGCCATTCTCCTTTCCCTTAAGTATATCCTGATGGTTGGTGATGAGATGTAAATGCTAGGCTAGGTATGTGTGGTTTGGAAAAGGTTCCATGATAATTTTTATATTCTCCTTAAACACTGCCACCCAGATTGAGAGCTATGGGAACAGAGCAATGTTCTTAAACTTTAGTGTCTGGGATGTATTCTGGTCATTGGCCTGGCATAGGATCCAGGGATGTATAATTAAAACTTTTTCTTATGGAGATTTTCACACAACAGGTTTGAAACACTGCTATAAAGATTCTGAGAAGTGGTGACTAACCAAAGTGAAAAAAAAGAAGTGGGATAAGGATGGAGATTGACCTTCGCTCCACAGCTCAGCATCAAATGCTGATTTCAGAATCAAACGGTCTCCATTGCCATGGGACATTCCCTACCTCAGTGGAATTGAAGAGTAGGAGACCGGGACTCTTGTCTGACTCTGACTGGTATCTTGGTGACCTTGAGGAATCCACTTAATGTCTGTGTCCTCAATTTCCTCATCTCTAAAATAAATGGCAGGCCTATGACTGAAGCCAAGTTCCTGGGTAGTGAAACTGTTAAAGTGCTCGACTACTAGCCCAAAGTTTGGCAGTTCAAACCCACCCAGAGGAGCCTCGGAAGACAGGCCTGGCAAACTGCTTCTGAAAGGTCACAGCCTTGCAAACCCTATAAAGTACAGTTCTACCCTGCACACATGGGGTCGCCACGAGTCCGAATCGACTAGACAGCAACTAACAACAACCACAATGACCGACACGACTCCGTGCATCCAGAAAATTCAATGATTCTTCCCTGCCATCCAGGGAGATGGAGAATTTAGACACAAGAGGAATTTTAGTGCTGCCAGATAAGGGATGATCTGTGCGAATGACGGGAAAAGGCATTTCTGTAAGAAGTCAATATGGCTTGATTGCCTGCCAGGAAAACACACATCCACTTTGGTTCCTCAGCATTATAGATGTGAAAAGGGAACTCGCAAGTTGTGCAAATGGCTGTTTCATCAACAGGAGTTGAAGCCAAGTGCAATTGTTAAATATTCACAATTGATTGAACAAATCTGTAAACTTGATTTAGCTTGGAAGAAGGGAGGCTGGCTGAAAGCACGTGCTCTAAGGCACAGAGCAGCCCCGGCAGCATGGATGCTGAGGGTGATAAAACTGTCTCTTTCCGCCCAGATCTATTTCACCCAGGAATCGTAATTCCCCAAATCAGAAGATTAAAACTCCTTTGCAGCAATGACCAATTGAAATTAATGAGTTCATAATCCTGTGTCTCTTTTGGAAGCCGTTCTGATCAAGACTAATTACCTCCAGTATAAAAAAGTTTTTTTAGTAAAACAGATTCCTTTTTCTTATTGCTGTACCTTACAGTACAGCACCACGTTTTAAATAGAGAAGCTGTAATTAAATTAGAACTCACGGTGAAAAAGCAGTGGAGGCTGATAATAATCGCTTTTCAGAGACTGCTGTAATTGGCCCTCCAAGGATTTTATTTCAAAGCATCAAAGTCAATTTAAGACGCTTGCTTTATCTGATTTGAGCTTCTTTGATGAAGACACTATGTCTTCATATGTCAAGGTTTTCTTAAACTTAACTAAACTGTTTTTAATGATTATGCTAATAATTACAGCACCACTAGGCTGTTTTATGGACACTGGAAGATAAAATTCAAATTCCCTTTCTGCCTATTAGTTAAAGTTGTAACCACAAAATGTATACAATTCTTGCTTATTAACCATTTGATTAGCTCTTGAAATTCCACGACCAATAAAAATACTTTCATCACTTGATACCTCCCATGCTGTGTTTAATACATTAAACCAAGGCATGAGAGGGAGTTTGTTAATGAACACCCCCATACACCATTTGTTTTTGCTCATGCTGGTCCCTCTACCTGGAATGTCTCCCCATTTTTGTTCTGGTCCAATGGGTAAAATTCTACTTGTCTTTCAAATCCCAGCTCAAATGCCACATCTTTCGTGAAGGCTTCCCTGATTACCACAAGAGTTTAAGATCCCAGATCCCAGAGCTTAAGCTTTCTCATCTGCAATATGATGATCACAGGTCTATGCTGATGATGAAATGAGATATTTGTGGAGTCTGAAAGGCTATTGCAATCACTGTTTTGAGTCCTTTTCTGCTTACCTCTCAGGCTCCTACTAGCCAGAAGACATGGGATACAACACAAAAGTAGGCTAAAGACAAGAGTCATCAGGACAAAATTTTTACCTCTAGGAGTCAAGCACTAATTAATTGCCTATAGAATGAAAGAAAGTATTGGGGTCCCGAACTGGACACACTACCTGCCTGTGTGACCTTGGAAAAGTCGCTTGACTTTTCTGGGCTTCAATTACTGTTGTGCAAAACAAGTTGTCATACTAAGTTATCATTAAGATTCCTCTTGCCTCCAGAATTCTATGAGTATAATTACAGGTGGTACACACCTTAAAATTGTGCCTAGGGTACTTACAGCATTAAAACTAATTAATAACTTGCCAAATCATGCCAATGGAGATCCAATTTCTCCCATGCAATTATTGCTCCTGGCTTCATAAAGGCAAAGCAAAGCAAAACTTCATTATCTTACCTCTCCATGCAAAGCTGATTAGTTGTGTGAAACATGCTGGGTAATTAATAACTGGAAGTAGAACTCTCCATCTCATGGTTGCATTGTCATCTTAACAAAATACCGGAGTCCCTCCCCTTTTGCAGAGAATACACTGAATTCTGTAAATGCTGTGCTATTTCTGTGCATGATAGAAAAAAAGACATCTCAATGATAAATCAAAAAATAGCTAGCATTTTTATTATTTCTATGTTATTATTATTTGTATCTCCCACCATGAGCTGGGTGGAAACCCTGGTGGCGTAGTGGTTAAGAGCTACAGCTGCTAACCTAAAGGTCAGTAGTTCGAATCCACCAGGTGCTCCTTGGAAACTCTATGGGGCAGTTCTACTCTGTCCTATAGGGTCGCTATGAGTCAGAACAGACTCAATGGCAAGAGGTTTTATGAGGTAGGTACTGTGCTATCATGAATTATCTTTTCTTCTCTGTTATACAAAATCTTTCAAATTTTAAAATCTTTCTTTCTGGAATATGAAGTGGAATTTTATAGACATAAACTTATCTATTTTCTAGCAAGAAATGGCTTCTGGTCACTTGTGTCCTGATTAGCTGTGGACAGTTTTCTTTCTTTCCTAGTGTCACCTTGGGTGCTTCTGATTGAGAGTTTGGGAAGTTTCTGCAGCCTTCCAGTCTGGAAAATACATCATATTGCCTGGGGCTTTTCTCAGTAAATAAACGAGACCATGCTATCACACCAGTCTTCTTGGGAAACGTCAGCCTTAGCTGGTCTCTCACCTCACAGCAGAGAAGAACCAGGAAAGAAATTTTGACAAAGTGCCATCAAAGTGTCTCTGCCGTACCCCATTGTGAATTGTACTGTCAGTTCAATGGGACACAACTTAATTCATGGATGCTGGTCTACAGTTTCATTTATGTGCATAACATGAAATGGAAATATCAATCTAACCTGATAGTTTTGCTCATGGATAATATTTTAAATGTACAATTTGATGAGAGGATCACATAGCTTCTTGCAAGGAGTAACAGGAACATAATTATGGGACATTCCAATGTTAGTCAGTTGACATAACATAGTTTCAACCTTTCTATCAATGTATTTTGCATACTTCAGCTTAAGCGTTCACTTGCCTTAAACTTGGGCCTAATGATTAGAAAAATAAAGACCAGCTTAATAGATTTAATGATGGTAAGCTGAGGGAAAACAAAGCCAAGAGGATAGGAATAGGATGCTTGAATCTAGGTCTTAGAGCTTACGCAAATAATAATTGTGGAAGTAATACTTGTAATAATGAAGATGATTTATAAAAATATAATAGCTAGAATGCACACACACACAAATATACATATATGTCTGCTTATATGTGCTGAATATGAGTAGGCTAGTTTATCTACGGGGAGAAAAAGAATAGAGAAATAAAAGTTATCTGCTTTCGGGGAATGACTAAGAATAAGATAATAGTGTGTAGCCTAAATACACGGGCCCTATATTATCCAGTTATATGTATGCAAAAGCTGGACAATGAATAAAGAAGATCAAAGCAGAATGGAAGTCTCTGAATTATGGTGTTGGCAAAGAATACTGAATATACCATAGACTGCCAAAAGAATGAACAAATCTGTCTTGGAAGAAGTACAGCCAGAATGCTCCTTAGAGGCAAGGATGGCAAGACTTCATCTCACATACTTTGGACATATTATCAGAAGGGATCAGTCCCTGAAGAAGGATATCATCCTTGGTAAAGTAGAAGGTCAGTAAAACAGAAGAAGACCCTCAATGAGATGGATTGACACAGTGGCTGCAACAATGGGCTCAAACATAACAACAATTATGAGGATGGTGCAGGACCGGGTAATGTTTTGTTCAGTTGTATATAGGGTTGCTGTGAATCAGAACCAACTCGATGGCACCTAACAACAAAAACAACATGTTACCCAGTGTCTATAAAAAGTTGAATTCTAAGAAGCACATTCTTGGAAACTGAGTATTTAAAAGAAATTCCAATCATTATTTGTATGTCCTGAAAAACTTTGTTGTTCTTAGTTGCTGTCATGTTGGCTCTGACTCATGGAGACCTTATGTAAAATAGAATAAAATTACTGCCTGGTTCAGTGCCATCTTCATGATCCTTCCAACCTAGAAGGGGGCTCATCTTCCAGCACTATATCAGACAATGTTCTATTGCAATCCATAAGATTTTCACTGGATGATTTTTTGGAAGTAGATGTAAAAAAAAGGTGCAGTGGAGGCATATGACCTCCTCTAACTTCACAAGGGGATAAGAGAATTAAGATCAACATCTCAAGGCTGACTGCTATGAGATGGAAGTCAGATATGCCTCCTCTGTCCAATGTTTTTACCAATTCTACTCCCAGCTGTCCCTCCCATGGCACTCTCTACTTCTCTGCTGGGTTCCATAATTCATTGCTATGGCCACACAGAACTCACAGGCCATACTCACAGTTACGGGGTTTATTAGAGAAGTAATAGGTTACAATTCAGGATCAGAAATAACTCAGGATACAGTTCTTTGATCCGGACAACATCTTCTCAGCCAGCCCACAGGCAGGCCTCTCTATGGCCCTCAGCCCCTCGGCCCGGCCTCTGTTCTGCTTGGGCAAGTGTTACAAAGCTCCTTCGCTCTGCCAGTAAGTGCCTGGAGGCACCCCACTCTGCCAGGAAACCTCCTGCCTGAAGGCGCTGCCTCCGTGGGTCTGCACACCCACTGTAACCACCTTGCTCCATGGGCCAGGAAGCCCATTGTGCTGTCTTGTGCCAGTCTCCTGGTTCTGCTACCACTGTTTCTCTGCTGCCACATTCTGCTGTCTTGCACCGTCTCTGGTGTTACAGATCTCTCGCTCTCTCTGTCTTTTGGGTCTAGGTGGTTCTCAGCATAAGCACCCCAATCTAAATGATGCACTCTGCTCTCATCTATTCTTCTTGGTGGTAGTCACGTCCCTCCTAACCACCTCTGGGATGGCAAAACTGACCAACACCCTCATTAGGGTTCCATACATCTTACTTGCATGGTTTCACCCCCACAAGGGTGCCATGCACCTTATTTGCATTATTAGCAAGTTACCTAATCTCCTTGGTGGGCCACAAGCACCTTATCTGCGTAGTCTAACCCAATCTTTTGGTGGGAGTTAAAAGACCATGGCTAGAAAGGCCATATAAAAGTGACTCATCATACTGCAGTAGATCTTCCTAGTCTTAGTCTGGAAGCTCCAATGAAACCTGTGCACCATGGGTGACCCTGCTGGTATGTGAAATACTGGTAGTAGAGCACCCAGCATCATAGCAACACGCAAGCCACCGCAGTACAACAAACTGACAGATGAGTGGTGGTGAAAAACATTAAAGGATAATGTTTTACAGTGTTGTTCGTAATGTTCACCGTCATTTCTCAAAAGCTCCTTCCTCAAAAGAAGAGATTGAAAAGGTGATTAAAAAACTCTCAACAGAAAAAAGCCCTGGCCTGGATGGCTTCACTGGAGAATTCTACCAAACTTTCAGAAAAGCGTTAACATCACTACTGCTAAAGGTATTTCAAAGCATAGAAAACGATGGAATACTCCCAAACTCATTCTATGAAGCCAGCATAACCCTGATCCAAAACCAGGTAAAGACACCACAAAAAAAGAAAATTACAGACCAATATCCCTCATAAACATGGACGCAAAAATCCTCAACAAAATTTTAGCCAATAGAGTTCAGCAACGTATCAAAAAAATAATTCACCATGATCAAGTGGGATTTATACCAGGTATGCAGGGAGGGATGGTTCAAACATCAGAAAAACAATCAATGTAATCCACCACGTTAATAAAACAAAAGGCAAGAGCAGAAAAGGCATTTAATAAAGTCCAACACCCATTCATGATAAAAACTCTCAACGAAATGGAAGGGAAATTCCTCAACCTAATTAAGGGCATTAATACAAAGTCAACAGCCAACATCATCCTAAATGGAGAGAGCCTGAAAACACTCTCCTTGAGAACAAGAAGCAGACAAGGATGCCCTTTATCACCTCTGTTGTTCAACATTGTGCTGGAGGTCCTAGCCAGAGCAATTAGGCTACAAGAAGAAATAAAGGGCATCCAAATTGGTAGGGAAGAAGTCAAAGTATCTCTGTTTGCAGATGATATGATCTTATACACAGAAAACCTCAAAGAATCCACAAGAAAACTACTGGAACTAGTAGAAGATTCAGCAAAGTATCAGGATATAAGATAAACATACAAAAATCAGTTGGATGCCTCTACACCAACAAAGAGAACCTCAAAGAGGAAATCACCAAATCAATACCATTTACAATAGCCTCCAAGAAGATAAAATACTTAGGAATAAATATAACCAGTGACGTAAAAGACCTATACAGTGAAAACTACAAGACACTACTGCAAGAAACCAAAAGAGACCTGCATAATTGGAAAAACATACCTTGCTCATGGATAGGAAGACTCAACATTGTGAAAATGTCAATTCTACCTAAGCAATCTTCAGATACAATGCAATCCCGATCCAAATTCCAGTGGCATTTTTTAATGAGATGGAGAAACAAATCACCAACTTCATATGGAAAGGGAAGAAGCCCCAGATAAGTAAAGCATTACTCAAGAAGAAGAACAAAGTGGGAGGCCTCACGTTACCTGATTTTAGAACCTATTATACCGCCACAGTAGTCAAAACAGCCTGGTACTGGTACAACAACAGATACATAGACCAATGGAACAGAACTGAGAATCCAGACATAAATTCATCCACCTATGAGCAGCTGATATTTGACAAAGTCTGTTAATTGGGGAAAAGACAGTCTCTTTAACAAATGGTGCTGGCATAACTGTATATCCATCTGGAAAACACTGAAACAAGACCCATACCTCACACCGTGCACAAAAACTAACTCAAAATGGATCAAAGACCTAAATATAAAATCTAAAACGATAAAGATCATGGAAGAAAAAATAGGGACAATGCTAGGAGCCCTAATACATGTCATAAACAGAATACGAACCATAAGTAACAATGCACAAGCACCAGAAGACAGATCAGATAACTGAGAGCTCCTAAAAATCAAATACTTATGCTCATCAAAAGACTTCACCAGAAGATTAAAAAGACAACCTACAGACTGGGAAAAAATTTTTTAGGGTATGACA